CAGTACTGGACGGGGTCCCTGTCTATCGAGAACGCTCTTGATTTCGGAGAAAACGCCCTGTCTATATCGGACATTCCGGGAAAAAGAAATGGCGTCGGGTGGATTCAATTATTCAGCCGATTCAGCCGGGGCGGACTTCTCTTATATCAATGTTGAAAGTCGGTGAGTGCCACCCCTCCGCATCGCCCCTTCATCGTGTACAGCCTGGCTGTTACCCTCAGGTCATCTGGACATCTGGACATTGGCAAGTCGTCTCCTGAGAGTGGAGGCGGGTGGCCTTGCCCTTGTCCTCAGGGGTCACCTGGTGGCATCAAGATCCCAAGCAACCAGCCCTGCGTCCTCGAATTACGTGCCCAAGCCTTTCTTACTAGTAGTAATGCCCTGGTTACTAGTAGCGTTCGATCGCTCTGTTCGTGTTCCAGGCCAGGAGCCCCTAGTTGCCCTACGTAGCGTCCGAGGGTCGCTCCATTCGAGTCGCTACATGCCAGGGTCGCCCCGTTCGAGTCGCTTCTTCTTACTCTACTGAGACTCATTCCAGTCTGTCGTCCGACCCACCTTGGGAAGCGCATCCGTCCAGTTGTCGGGCAGCTTCCGGTCCATCACCGCGCGCTGGAACTGCGCGGCGAGCTCCGGCTCCTTCTCCTGGTACTCCTGACACAGAACTCTGCCTCGAATTCAACCGAAATTCAACCGTCGATTCAACAAACCAATCGAAGAAATCAAACGAACGCATCGTCGTTCCCCCCTCGCCTTCCACATCTTATTCCAGGCCGCTTGCTTCTCAGAGCCAGCCTTGGCGTGCTTCCTGAAGGTGTCATACACCTGATCTGGCACCTCAGAGGAAATATATCAATCTGCAGATGAGACGCATCATCAGACTACAGAGCTTTTCTTGAAGTTTGAAGATTTCTGGAATTTTGAAGAGAACATGACCAAGTTGTATAGTCCATTTCTGTACTTTGTTTGCGCCTCGAACTCACCGTAGTTCCATCCCAGCTGCTTTCGTGTGGCCTCAAAAACTCTCTCAAGCGTGACCAAGTCCTATCAAAACGCGAGTCATTCGGGATAGTTACGAGGTTCAAGTCTTCAAGGCGATAGTCACCAAGTCCTGTCCAAACCGCGAGTCATTCGTTGCCTCCGCCTCATCTGCACCCAGCGGTGTTCCATGGGCATCATGGCTGTCAGCCTGGGCAGGCATCACGAGGCTTCAAACACAATCCCCCTTATCCCTTGTGGTTGAGCTGAATGATGCTTGGCATGGGAAATTGCAAAATGATGGTATTTTAAAAAACAATATATATATATATATATAGTTTTAAAAAATAGTAAATAGGAGAAACATTAGGAAAAAAAAGAATTGTTGTTGGTCCCATGTTTGGTCCTATTGTTGCTACTTGTTAGGTCCTATGTGTTCATATTTGTTCGTTTGTGTTTCCTAGTTGTTCACGAGTGTCCTTTTTTGAGGGTGCTGTTTTTTAAAATGCAAATTTAGAGAAATGAAATATGTATTTTTGTTGGCCCTATGCTTTTCCTATTGTTGTTCCTACTCTTTTCCTAATTTGGATGCTATTTATTTCCTAGTTTTTCCCGTTTTGTTTTTGTATTTTGACCGCACCCGTTGCAAGCTTAACTCCCTCGACACAGTCGTATCTCCCCTCCCATGGCCCTGGTGTCGGTCCTTGTTGGGTGAGCCAAAGCCAATGGTAGTCTTCACCTGCGACCAATCCACAAACATCATCAAACATCCACATCTTCTGTAGCTTTCAAAAGGCACGGCAGACCGCCTTGATCAGGGTTGGCTTGTCAGTGCAGGCCTTCGCCTCCTGCGCCAAACGAGCGAAGGGCAAGGCAGTTCAGGCCCTCTGAGTGGAAAGACTTGATGGATCATGCGAGGAAAGCGGCTTCTTTACATCTGTTACTCTGTTACACTATCACACTCTACTTCCAGAGGCCTTTCACTGAACATCGTGTTCTCAACCTGCCTTGATGGCCTTTCGGATGGCATCCACATCGGTGTTGCCCTCCGGCACTTCCAAAACCTCACAGGACCAGATCGGCAACCGTCGAAGCGACGCTCTGCAGCTGCTGTAGCTGCAGACGGAAAACCAATCAAGAAGATGGAAGCAGTTCAACCTGTTGTAAAAGGTCACACGGAAACTACAGGAACTCTGAAGAACATCTATGCTTTTGCCAAACCTGAAATGGTCTCCCCGTGAGGAATGAGCCACACCTGCCAGCCGTAGCCCTCGAAGCGCTTGCCCACGTCCTCGGTGAAGGAGAGATCGGTGTGGCCATCGATAGTGATGCCATTGTCATCGTAGAAGGCCTCAAAAAAGCATCGCGAAAAACTGAAGTCACACTCGAAAAAGTTGGGGCTGAACAGTCCCAAACTATGGGTAAGCCATGGGGTAGGAGCCCACCATGGAAGAGAGTCAAAGGCACCGTCGGAACTTAAGCACATTGGATCTGTATCCAGACTGAAGGAATCCCTAGATATGCACGACGCAAAAGCACACACACAGCGGTCTGCCGAGCCACGATGAGCTTTCCCAGGCCCAAGTGGCCAGCATAGGCGCAGGCCTCATGTGAGATGCCCTCCTGCATGCAGCCATCGCCTGCGTCCGCAAAATGCTGTAAACAAATCTGCGCGTGTGGGCGCGCCAGTACTCAACAGACGCAAGACCAACAACCCCGCACGACTGTTAGACTGTTAGCATGTTCCAATGTTCCAGAAACAATGCAGAAACGTTGGTCCACACCGACGAACCTCAGTAGAGAACACTTCAAAAAAACCTCCAGGGTGGCCCCCTGATCACTCGTCACATGTTGATGCAGTAGAAAGTTATGCAAGAGAAGCAGCAAAAGACACCAGCGGAAACTCAACAAAACAGCAGGCCCGAGGCTTGTCGTAACTTGTCAGAAAACAACTCTCCGGTCGCAATCGGTCGGAAACGTCAGAAACTCCGGAGTTTGGTGGAAACCTGCGATGGTGTAGGTGTAGTGGTCGATCAGCTCCATGCCAGGCTTGTTGTAGACCTGATGCGCTTGGTGGTGGCCATTGGAGCTAGACCCTATCAGCTCCCCTTTATTCGGACCACATGGAACACACAAAACCACATGAGTTTTGGTGGGAAAATGGTCGAAACCACGCGCTAAGTCTGCAGGTCCATGTAGTCTCTCGGGGAGTACATGAAGTATAATGTAGACTCTTGATCAATAAACCGATGAAGAGGCTTAAAGCCTCCATGGACATAGGGAGCCTTACTAATCAAGAGTCTACATGAGTCGTAGAGTCGCAGAGGTTTAGAACATATATACTTCGTTTTCTCGCCGTGGTGGTTCCACTCCCGCCCAAAGAGTCCACCTGAAGAGTCGACTCTCCGGAAACCAGTCCGTCGGCCCGTGGGACCGTCGTCAACGCCCAGTCCGTCCGTCGTCCCTCCGTGGGAACGACGTGAACTCCTTCCGCGCAGACCGTGCTTCTCCAAGGCACTGCCGCCAGGTGCGCCTCGGCGGCCGCCAGGCCCACGGCGTTGGAGATGCCCATGCCCAGCGGTCCGGTGGTCCTCGGTCGCGAAACGGGGGGGTCTGAAGAAGACAGTTGTAAGGCGAAATGCAGGTAAACGCAGTCTGCAACAGCTGCTGACAAGACCAGATGAAACAACTGAAAATCACCCCAGGTTCCTGAAGCTGCTTGAAAATACTTGTTCATTGCAATCAAGTTTCACTTCAATGCCATCGGTCTCGAAGTTCTCAGGATGGCCTGGAGTCTTGGAACCCCACTGTCGGAACTGCTTGATGTCGTCGATGGAGACGCTGTCGTACCCGGCCAAGTGCAGGAGGGAGTACTGGAGCATGCAGCCGTGGCCTGAAGAGAGGACAAAGCGATCACGGTTCACCCACTTTGGATCCTCAGGATTGTACTGCATCTCCTCAGCGAAGAGAAGGTATCCAATTGGTGCCTGACCCATGGGAGCACCAGGATGACCACTGTTGGCCTTGTTCACAGCATCCACGGCCAAGAAGCGGATGGCATTGATGCACTCAGTGTCCACATCCACTTCGGTTGCTGTGGCGAGGCGAACAACCTTGTCCTTCTTGGCGCATCGCTTGTTTGGTCGCACAGCTGCGGTTGCTGCCAAAGCTGCTGCTCCGGCGCCAAGAATGCTGGCTCCAGCGCCAACTCCGCTGGCAGGCGCTGATGTGGCCACAGGCGCCGGGGCGCTTGTCACAGCGCTCAGCTTCTTAGTATGTCACCATTGTTTAGCAGTTGTGCTTGCAGTTCAATCCTATTTATCATATTTTTGGAAACAAGTTCAAACACATCTCTCGTTTCGGCTTACATTGAACTTTGAACAATGTAACTTGCTGCAACGAAGAGACTGTTTGGGCTGCAGGGCCCACAAACGCAGGAGCCAACACGGTCGCCGCAGCACCGGCAGCCACGGCGGCAGTAGCACGTTGGGCACGAGTGGTCGGCATGGCAAATGACGTAAGGCACACCCAATAACTATTTTCGAGCTAAATGCTGCTGTGCACATCTCGAAAACGAAAGAAGGCACCTTTCATATTGAGACTCGACTCTGCGATGGAAACAACACATGCATGAGGCCAAACTTTGGCCCAAATCAGCAAAGTCCACCTTTTTTTAATGACAACACTTCCGGACCCTGGCGGCTGCCAGCAACGTCCATGAAAAGCTGCGGCAAAGGTCACTGGGCGACCGAAATTGGAAAATATGTAAGTTACACACCGAGTGCCCGTTCCAATGCATCCATCTGCTTTGGTTCAAGTTCTCCATCAATTTCAACTTCTCCATCTGCTACTGTTTGGAGCACGCGAAATGCATCATCAGACGGGACTGCATGAACGGGGAAAAAGCCAAGTTTGATTAAAAGCATAGCTCCAACTTGGCGCCAGCAGCCTCTCCATTGAACAGCTGGACTTGGAGCCAAGGTCTACTGGTCCATTCACATCAAGGTCTACTGGTTGGTATACTGCTCGCTCAATGCTTGCCCTGGCTGCCGTTGGACCTCAGCCACGTGCCCGCGAAACCACCCCACCCCAGGCTCCGGCCAGCTGGGCAGCTCCGAAAGGCTTCCGGGAACCCGCGGGGCGCTGTCCGTCTCCGACCGGCGGAGCGCTTTGACCCAAGGGGCGACTGGAGTGAAAGAAGGGGTGAGGAAGAATGCCACATTGGATGAGATAGATGCGGAAACAAACCAACCAACCAACCAACCAACCAACCAATGAGGACAAAAGCAAACACAACTCCTCTAGATCTAAGTTATTCTATGTCATCTGTGCCTTTTCACTCACTACTGAGGGCCTCAGCTTGGATGGAATGGTCAGCCCTCTGTCGTATGTCATCAGCGTTTGCAGCACGGATACATCCTGGGCTTCCATGCAGGGCGCCCTTTTCGCCCGAGAGGCACCTGCCAACTTGCCGCATCATTGAAGGAGAAAACCCCCACCTCGTTGAAAGAGAAACCCCCCAAAAAAAGCCCTGCAACATCTGCAGAATCATGTCCGCAACATGATTGACGGATCAAACCCCGCATCATCTCTACCACGATTTTGTGGCAACAGAAGGGTAGTCTCAACCCGACTCAACCCTGATAACCCACCCAGTCTGACTCTAGAGTCCTGGACTACTCCAAGATGACTCCAAAAAGGGGGACATCCTTAGTCGTCCTGACTCCAAAAAGGAACCCAACTTCGCAGCTCCGCCCCTTCCGTTCCCGCGGGTTCCCGGCGGAACGGAGACCGTAGCCGGGGCTGTTTCACTCGCCTCTCGGCGCAGCTGACGACGTTGTCCACGTTGAAGCCGAACTTGTCCAGGCCTTATGCAACGTCATTGGGTGAGAGGGGAAGCGTTTTAGGGTGGTCATTACCACCATAAAGTGTCCACTTTTGAAGGTGTGAACTGAAATCAACTTGGCATGGGCACAGGTCGACTTTAGATGACTTGAGATGAGAACTGGGAGTGCTTGGAATCCCCAACACAGGTCTTTTCTTCCACTGGTGCTTTTTCAGTGTATCAGAACTCACACGGATGACTCCAGACATATGAGATACCTTTGGTAAAAGCACCAATGGATACGACCAATGGAGAGCCGACACGGGCACCAAGCACCAGGTCCAGCACGGGCTCCGTTCCACCGTTCTCCGCCCAGGGCACAGGTGCCGCCCGGCGCGGAGGCTCCGAAGACGTCGATGCCCACGAAGGCATCCGCCTCGGGTTTGGCAGAGGGAAGGTCCAGGGATGTGGGTGATGTGGTAGGAAATCATCATGAAAATCAAGAAGCAAAAAGAGAAAGAGAAGCATGTTTTTAGTCTTCCTTTTTTTTAGTGATGTTTGCTGTGTGATTGCTTTGTTTTGACTTGAAATGCGGGAGACTCCCGATCGCCCCACTTTTGGGGGGGAGTAGACTGATCTAGAGCAAAAACCCAGAGGGTCGTTGCCTGAGAGATCCCTAGTTCAATTACAGACCCTTTCGCATGTAGCGGAGTCTTCGTGTTTGAAGACGTGGAGATGTAGCGTCGCAGCGCCGAAAAGCGCCTGCGGGTGCTCCCTGTTTGAAAACATGTGGAAAGGAGGTGACTTGGTTTGGGGGGGAGACGCATGCGGCAAGCAGCGGAAGCCATGCGGCGCTTTCCTTTAAAAAATGAAAAGATGGTCTGTTTGAGCTCCCCACGAATTCACCCCATCCAGAAGTGCATGCGGCCTGAGACGAGGGTCACAGCGTACGCTTCTGGACGAACACATCACATGGTGACGTGGATGGCACCCCCCCGGTTCGCCAAGGAAAGTAGTCTTCCAAGGGACCATGCCACTTCCATATGAGTGAGTTAGAGTGTTCAGTCTTCGTGAGGCGTCAAGAGGCCTCAACGCTCATCTTCGGCACGTCTGCTGGCAGCAGCTTGGACTTGTAGCTGTCCGGCTGCTCCTAAGTCGGACTCCGCTGTTCCTCTCGTGTTGGGCGATGTGGGCAGCCGTGTATCATGCTCGACTTCACCCCACAAGGCAGCCGCCCTGTAGACCTCGCAAGAAGGCATCGAGACCTCAGAGTCAAACGGATCGTCTTTCTTGCGTCTATCCTAGTACCAGTAACAGTGGACGATGGTTAGTAAAGGCCTTGTTCAATAAAAGGTGATACTTCTTTACTCACTGTTACAGGTATTCGAATATTGTTTACTTGGGATGGGTGATACTTGGGGACTCTCGAATTTGGGGGACAAACCCAAGATATTCGAAAGAAACTCGCTTCAAAGCACATGCATCTGCCCTACATCAATCCACTGAGCTGTGGGCCACTCGCACCTGGAGCTCTGCTGAAATCGGTGGTACTGTTCATGAACGAAAAGAATCTGCTGAACTAAGAATCCGAGGTACTGTTCTGTTCTTTTAAAGAGAAATGACGAATCGATGCACAGTTCGTGCGTCTCTTCCGCCTTCTTCTCCAACTTCTTGGCCGCATCGACGCACAGTCCAACTTCAGAGCCAGTGCCGATCCTGTTTGGCGACCCGATGTTTAGCTGCGAGCAAGAGCAAGAAGCCCCGCCCCTTTAACACCTGTGATCAAGGACCTAGATCAAGGCACCCCGGATTCAAAACAATCAAGAATTCCCCTGCTAGTTGAACTGGATTCCCTTTCACCGAGTTGCAGGATCAGCTCTGGCTCTTCGCACTCAATCACCTCATAGGCACCTCGTGTTTTTCGACCGAGGACGCCGAGGACAATCTGACGTCTTGTCTTCGTCTGATTGCCACACTCCAAGCGTTCAGCGCGTTCAGTGCGTTCATCGTGACACGTTCGTTGCGGATGGTGAGAACCATCCACCATCCAACAATGCGTGGAAAAAATGGCAGCTGTACGGATTGGACATCCACGGATGTTCGTATTCTACGGTGTGCATTTCAGGTGGAACTAGTGCTATCAGTAGATCTCTCCATCAAGGCACAAGCCTTTCCCTATCTTTGCGGGTATGTTGACTCCGCGGGGGGGTTGCGGCCTGCTATGTTCAGCCTCAACAACCCTGAACAAATCTACCTCACGTTGAATGCGGCTCATACATTGTCATACATGTCAGAAAAGGGGATCACAAACCGTGCGAAGAAACCCTTTCAAATCTGCAGCTTTTTCAGTTCCATGCCTCTTCAAGTGACAAGGCCGGGCATGTCATCAGGCTTCTCAGACCGATGTTCCAACCACGATATATCATGCTGCGACATCAGCATAAGGTTGGAGGCCATCGCTATTGGGTTGGAGGCCATCGCTATTAGGTTG